TAGGACATTTTACGGATGCTAAAACTCAAACTGAGAACCCTACATAAGTTTTTGTGGGTAACTATAAAGAATTTAACGGGAGGTAAGTCGGGTTGGCACCATATAAATCTCGCATGTCTCTCACATTTATATATTAATCTTGAATGTTGTCCAACTCCATACCACCTCCGATTTGATGTGAGAAACCCCACCACTTCAAGATCCTATTTTTTCAGCCATTCAATGAGCATGAACTTTTATAGTTTGAGGGATAGCCCGCATTGCCATTACTTGTTTTTCTAATTGGTGGCCATCGAATTAAAAGTTGAATTAATTAATTAATTATATATATATTTATAGGATAAGTTGATGGAATGAATACATTGACCATTGAGGAATAATAATTATGGGCTAACCAAAAAGTGATTAGATTTAAGAAGCACTATATGGTCCTATTATTATTATTTTTTTTTTAAAGGCACCATATGTCATCAAACTTTATCCGCATTTGGGCTCCAGCATTTAGGCTCTGTGTATGGTAGCTTTTATTAAATGTGTGTGTTAAATCGTTAGATTAATTGAGCGGCTTAGATTTACCAATATACAAGTAAATGTACAGAGCCTAAATGCAGGAGCCGAAAAAATTAATGATAATTATTTGAGAACATTTCTAAGAAAGATTTATCATTTCTTTTCTTTTTTTAATATTTTTTTTTATACAAACGATATAATATAATTTAAATTACGGAGAGGGGAAATCGAACTCGAGTGCAGAGTGGGGAGCATATTCACACTAACCAACTTGTCTAAGTCCATGTCTCCCAAATTTCCCATTTTTAGATACATATACTATTTGAAAAATAATAAAGAAAAAGGTACGTTTGCAGTAAAGATGCTTTACTTTACAAATATATAAGTAGTTTATTTTGGTCAAATTAATTAAAGCTCACGTTTTCCTTGGTAATAGGGTGTTAGTTTGGACACGTACATGAAAATCCGAAGGACAAGATTAGATCGACCACCTTGAATTTTGTTGTTATGTTCTTTGTGTACTTCAAAAAAATCCTGTCTATTCATTGTGTGTGTAATTCTGAATAAGGCCAGCCAGCAGCAACCCATTTTCAATAATTCAGAAATGTTCTGGTTAGAATTAACTTGTAACTAGAGGACAAGGAAAACCAGGCCAATTGTGATTGTTTAAGAACCAAGTAAGGAACAAATTAGAAGACAAATTATTTGTGTTACACATGCAATTAAGTTAAAGTTGCAAGGGCCAACCTTTGTTGCCTAAATGAAGCTAAACCTAAAGTTCATTATGATCAGTGAGGACTGCCTAAGTATGGTCCCGTGCAATAAAAATCATTGCATATGAACTAGGGCGAGAGAATGAGAAAATGGTCTAAAATGTGATTACGATTCTGCTTGTATTATTTCAACAAGTCATATCGTGATATATTTGTACAATCTCTTTAATAGAGGCGAGACTCCTTTATGTCAATGTCACTAAATAAATATCACGTGTCTATTAGAGAATGTGTAAATATGATTTTATTATAGTTAAATGAAACTAATATTTAACATTGTCTTTTCAGCATGCGGAGAAGAACTGACTCATGCTTTAAGGGGGCCTCTCAATAGTCTATTAGTCTAAGTGATCCTATTCTTCTATCCCAATTGAGAGGATGGCCCTTAACAATAGATGGCTTTGCAATATTCATATATTCCTTCCGGGGTAGTAGGTAGGGTGCACGGTGTTTGACCGATTTTGGGCAAATTAATACATGGATATCATACTCCTTTGCCCAACCACAATTAAAATTTAAATGTGGTAGGAAGCATGAGTTAATCAAATTGTAAACCTTTCGTCATTGAGATATTAAGCGAGACATCTCCTTAATTATGATGGAACCTTTGAATAAAAATTATATGGGTTAGACTAGTTGGTCAGAGCAATGAGCGCCCCTTGCATTTAAGTTCGAATTATTTTTTTCTGTAAATTAAATTAATTTAGAGTATAATTTATATTATCGCTTATATAAAAAATAAGAATAATATGTAATCTAAGTTTTAACAATTAAGTTGGTGATAATATCATTGTATAATGGGCGTCAAATCTCTCTTTGACTCCCAACAAGTGGTGTCAATTTTTTATTTTTTTAGAAACCCAAAAAGTGGCATCATAGAAGATGGTTATGATTGCAAAATTAAAAGTCATCTTATATTATGTAGGGAACAAGCACAATATGCGACTCAAAGTTGGAGTTGACTTTAAATTATTATCCATCTCATTCAGAGACTTGCTCGATGGGGTATGTGGTGATTATTATTAATTACAATGTCCTAAGGTCGTGCAGATTGCTTTGGTGCTTGAAAATAATGGAAAGATCAAGCTATGAGATTGGTAGAAATTGTGAATCAAATTCAAATGACTAATCCTACATTGGAGAAGAGAATATGTCCAACTCCAACTCCAACAATAAGATCAATAACATTAAGTGAGAAATTTCTTTTAAGTTAAAACCTAGCTAGGTCAACTCAATGGTGAAGTTAGGGCTCGTTTGGAGGGCCCAGAATCACTTATGAGGAGGAGTACTTTTCATATGTTTCCCCATATAATCACTTTATGTGATTTTAAGCAATTTTGGAAAGGAGCATATGAGAGGTGTGTCTCCATAAAATCGCTAAAAATCACTTAAAGTGATTATATAGAGAGGTGCTTCTTCAGAATCACTTCCAAACGAACTCTTAATGAATGTTATTGCAATAAGTAGGTTCCCAATACAATAAAGCTAATGACTTTTCGACAAAGTCCATGCACTTATTAAAGAAACGGCAACACTAGCTTTTCAAAACCTAGTGTTTATATTATATTGTAGATTCTTATAACATTACAAAACCTAGCCAATCCAGTTCTAGTCTTCTAGTTCTAGATGATCAGAATTTAATTCATTGCATTGTAGAAAACACAAAAGAGCCCATCAGGGAAGGAACACATGCAGCTGGAAATGATGGTTTTCATATGCACGGGACGACCCATGAGTTTATAGAATTCAGAATTCAAAGCTGACTTATCTACTTTGGATCGAGTGTACTTGGAAATCTATGTAAAGGAAAAATCTGACGTTGAAGAATCAAACTGTTCAAAAGTCAGTGCATGGGTTTCTTTCTCCATCATCATTCATTTTCACACTCTCTGTTTTCACCCTTTTTATATAAACCAGAAAAATCAAGTTTGAAGAAAACAAGTGTATGTATGTCAATGGTATTGCGTATTGTTATGGGAAGCTGTTGTTGACCTTGATGCACAAAAGCTTGCTCTAGAGAAATGTCAAAAGACCAAGATCCACGATGTTGGAGAGAGTATCTTGGAAAATATTGCGAACTTATTGGACATCTATAATTTATGCATCGTAGTTCCCAAAGTAAGTCTCTTGTTACTAAAAAATACAAATAATTTTCTTTATTTTATTTTTTTCTACTTAAGCTAGCCAGAGAGAGATGTCGAATTAAATTTAAATTTAATGATTTATGTGCTAATTTGACATTTTATATAAGGGTTATTCCACGTGAGTTTTAATATTTCAGTTCGAGTGAGTCACAATTATTTTTTCTACATGATTAAAATGTCACGATGAATTTGACATCTCCTTTAAAAATGCTCTTAGGTTTCATAGGATTTTGTTCAATTTGTAATCAGTGAAGAAAAGAGGTTAAAAAAGAGTACTTGGATCATTTGATGGGTATGCTAGAAATCGAAGGTGATTAACAAGCTTTCGCAGTCCAACTAAGTCATAAAGGCCCAAAATGAGTGAAAAAGGCCATACACATCTGTCCTTTGACCACCTCCTGCCATTCCTACTATGTCATGGGAGGTGACCCATACTGTTCGCAGTAGTGGTAAAAAATTTGTGTGTAACACATCATCACCATCACAAGGTGTTACTAATTCACGCATCATAATACGGATGGACGGCAAAACTGATATATCATGGACTTTTTTTAGCCTGTCACTGAAAAATTACTCTACTATGAACTCTCAGAAAAATGGCTCACTTCACTTCAAGCTTTGAAAGGAGAGTAATAATCATGTATTTGGCAGTTGAATGACCTACTCTAAGCCTAAAGAAATCTAAGGCAATAGGTAGGTAATAGTAACCCATACAGATAGAAACAGCTAAATAATATCAACATTTAGACTAGTAAGTTCTCACTGGTTTCTCCTGTTTCTTCAGAACCAATCTGCGCACAGAAAATCTTGCAAAAAAATGCCTTCCAAGTTCTAACACTCAGATATCTGCATTTGCACCGCCTTCATGCTTTCCCTTTCGGCTTTACGCATGCACCCACATGAAGGAAAGAACACTAAGAGGACTTCTCCAATGCCTTATAGCAGCCTAAAGAAGAACACTCACAGATCTAGATCTTCCTGGTAAACTTTGGTGAGATGTATACATCTACATACATAATGCTTGTTTAGGACCAAATTGCTTAGTTTAGGAAATCAGATCACAACCCCTAAAACAAATTAGGAACCCAAATATTCCTATAGAATCCTAATTACAGTATACTATTAGTTTCCAACAGTTTGGATCTCCCACTCATTAATAAACACAAAATTCATACTTAACTATTGGATCAAAATTCAACAACAAATATCGAAATCCGGATTAGTACTTTGATTTTGTGACTAAGTATCATCTATTGGATCATAATCCAATAGTTGGTGGGCATGGATGACCCCTCACATGACTACATGAAGAAAAGAAAATAACAAAAAGAAACAAAATCCGCTGATTCTTCCTAACATAACTTGCAGAATGGAAACTACAGTTTGATGAACAGCCGTAGTTAAAACTTTAAACTTGTATTCTAATCCAAAACGTTCATGAATGGCATGTACAATCAATCAAGCCAGAGCATCTGAATTATCAAATTCATCCCTCTTTCGGGTTCGCATATGAACTACAAATTTGAAAGCGTACCGAAAATGAAAACCAAAGGCAATCACTAATCCAATCCAATGCATCAAATCAAAACTCAGTACAACTCTATTTATATATTTCCAGAAACGGTTACATTATCCGGCATACATTGCAGGTTGTACAAATTTTTCTTTCTAACAAGTGGTAATTTCCAGAAGGGAACATTTCAATTCTTTGGAAATATATTAATCTAACATAATTAGCCACTTCATTCGAAAAGACCAGATCTGAACAACAAACCCATTTGGCCACCATTAACATTCCCACACAGAAAAGCACATAACAGAAATCGGAACGGTAAAAGAACTTTCATGAAACCTGGTGGAGCAATAGCCTCCGGGTCGTGGCCAACCCGACATTCTTCGCGACCCGATCTACGCGGGACCCCGAATCCGATTCGTCGTGGTACCAACCCACCGATTTCTGAGCTTCCAGAACGATCTTCGACAAACCTGAACCCCATTTCGAAACCCAGAGCAAAAAATTCATACCCAGAAAACGAAAAATCAAAAATCAAAGCGGAAAAAGGAAAGTGAATTTATGTACCTTGTTGAACGGTCTGTTTGTTTTCGCGGATCTCGTGGATGGTGGCGGAGATTTTCCAGTAGAGAGGTCGACCGACGTAGAAGAGGACCAGAAGAACCAGAGCTATGATGAGTATGCGGAAGGTGATCCTTGCTGCGGACGACGCCATTGTCGTTTGCTTGGCAAGTTCTTGCTTGCTTGCTTGGTTTGTTTGTTTCTTTGTTTTATTATGTAAGTTGAGCTTTGCCTTTGGTGGGTAAATTAAACAAGAGTTTATTTGATTGTTTGGTGTGTGAGTTTTGGGGGGTTCCGAGGATAGTAAAGACTAGGACAAGGTTAAAGTTATTCCGGATTTGGATTGTTATCTGTCGTTTTATGCTAATTTGTCGTTTTATGATAACTTTCATAGACGTATTATTAAAAGTTATAAGTATCATAAGCCTACTTGTTACATGTCAAATAGAAACGAAACTAAAGTTTGATACCAACATCGTCAGGGACTAGGCACAATCCAAAGGGCTGGTGCATACCTAACGTTCACATGAGCTGCAGTTGTATAATATTGCTTAACAAGTTTAGTTTCTAAGCTGAATACTCCTCGAACATGAATATCATCAAAGAGATAATTCAATTTAGATTTTAAATGATTTTAAAATAGGTATAAAGTTGATGGAGTTTAATTGAATTTAATTGGGTTTGACTCAATTCTACAAACTCCACATAGATTTTGGCTAAATTTGTGTATAAATTTTAACTGAGTTTGTTAGAATTTTATTATTGATTATAATGGAGTTTATAGCGATGACGATGGTGGTGATGGCAATGGCGGTGGTGATGGTGGTTTGTGGGGGGAGGTAGTGGTTAAGGAGGTGGGGGTGGTAGTGGTGGTGGCAGTGTGGAGGAGGTGGGGATGATAGTGATGGTGGTGGTGGGAGTGTGGTGGTGGATGTGGTGGAGGTGGAGGTGGTGGTGGTTGATATAACCATTATTTCATACATTTTTATTATCTTTCTCTTAGATTCTTACTATGTTCTTAACTGAGTTTAGTCCATTTTTATTTAGTTTTGTATTTTACTAGGTTTGAAGAGTAAAGATGGAAAAGCAAGCAAAATGAGCAATTTTGGAATTGAAATATAATGTGAAATCCTAGGAGCAAAATGTGCTGTGTAGAACAGTCAACTTCACAGAATATGCTGTACTTCCTCAGAGCGAACCAGATGTTGAGCCTTACATCGTTGGAAAGATACGGATGTTAGCTTTCTGTATAATTTTACAGTTCGTGATTTGGATATGTGTGGAGAGAGTTGTGACCGTTTTAGTACAGACAGTTTGGGCAGAATGTGTTCTGCGGGTTTTGTAAAATAATCCATTTGAAGTCCAATCCTTGGAGTTTAATTTGTGTCAATTACATTTGAGAAGTGTCTACAAGGATGCAAGGTTATTTTCTAAGGTCTGGCCCTATATTTAGTAGGATTTTGCATCATATTAAAGCCAAACTAGGAAAACATAGTTACCAATCCAAAAGAGGATTTGTTCCTTATTTAAAGAAGACCAGAAAATAGGGTTCTCTTATGTTGGAACTTGAAGGAGAGTCAAAGAGCCGTGCCATCGTCAAGTTCTCAAGCGTCGTCACAATCCATAAGTTTTATTTTATGTTTTCTAGTTTTTCAGTTATGTTTTCTTTGAACATGAGTAACTAAATTATTCTCTAGGGCGAGGATGACGCCCGAGCATGGATAGTTATGATTTTTAATGCTATTTAATGGATTCTAAATTTCTTTTAGATAATGTTTAATCACTATTTTAATTGTTGCTATTTGTTTAAGTTCTTTGATTGATCACCTTAGGGCTTTGCATCTAGTAAATTGGAAGATGAATTTGAGGCAGAACTTGCAATATAATTCAATTAGCTTCTTGTGATTAAGTGTGGTGAATTACATTATTGCTTGACGAAGAATAATGGTTTGCTTGGTTCCCTTGTTTTCTAGAGCATAATGAATTCAACTTGTTAAATTTATGCCTTAACCAGAATAGATTGCAGGATTGAGTATATGATCTTTGTCTGAACTAGAAAAGAATCTTACACTTAAGGAAAACTATGGTTTGAGTGCCTGAAAAGGACTTAGATACGGGAATTATCATCTAAAGAATCTATTGAATGCATTGAAATCTAACTTGGATTCCTTGTGGTTGATTCCGAAACCCTAGACCTTCATCATTGTTTTTCAACCTTAAAATTCAACCTTTTATTCTCAATTGTTTTATTAATTTCATTGTTTGTTTCATAGACTTTCACAACAACAATCTCTACAAATTCACTTGCGTATCAGTTAGATTTAATGTAGGTATTCGAATATTAGATTAATTTGGAATCCTCGTGGGAACGACATTTGGACTTGTCAAATGCTATACTATATCAATCTTGCGCACTTGCAAGGACAGACCAGCGGTGGAGGTGGCAGTGACAGTGATGGTGATGACGCTAGCAGTGGTTGTGGTGGTGGTGACTGTGGGGCTGATAATGGGGGTGGTAGTGGTTGTGAAGGTCCGGTAAGGGTGGTGGTGGTGGCAATGATGGGATGGTGATGGTGCTTGCGGTAGTGGTGGTGATGGTGGGGTTGGTAGTGGGGGTAGTGGTGGGTGGTGGTGGTGGTGCTAGGGGTGGTGGTGGTGGCGTAGACGATGATGACTGTGGTGGTGGTGGTGGCGGCGATATCTGCTATGTTGATAGTCATGATAAGATGGTGGCAGTAGAAGTGATGAAATTATATCTTGAGAATAAAAATAATATATCTATCAAAATCTCTGGGGGTAAGCAAGGATTTGTCATGGCCTAAAATTAGTCTATTATCAAACGAAATTCACCACTTTTTGTATTTCCTTTAAAATCAATGAGTTTTTTTAAGAGATTTTCTATTTAAACCCCGCACTTCTCTTTGTTCACCCCAATACTTAAATCATTAAGCTGTAAGTTTTATTATTGTATAAAAAGACAAAAAAAGGTCATCCAACTTAATAATTAACCCTAGTACATCTATACACACGCCCCCACACACCCCACCATTCTTTATATTAAGTTTTAAAAACCTCCTTCCAACTTCCTGTTTACAAACTCTCTCTCTCTCTCTCTCTCTCTCAACTCAACAATACCCAAGTGTTAGAATTCCAGTTACAGTTCTTGGAGAGAGGTAAAGTTGTTTTCTTTCTCTAGAAAATATTAAATTTCAGATTTGGGGTTTCATTTGTTTGTGTTTTTTCTTTTTTTTGCTGAGAACAAAGAAAATTGTGGGATTTAAATAGAAAATCTCTTTTAGTTTTTATTTTTTTAGTTTGGGGTGTATTTAAGGGTAGTTTGGGAAGATAGTGGGGTTTTCTTAGAAATTGTGAAAATTTAAATTAAAAGTTGGGGTGAACTTAGAACATGGGGTGAACTAAGAGAAGTGTGGGGTTTAAATAGAAAATCTCTTTTTTAATACACCTAAACTTTTATGAAGTCTTTTAAAGTCGTGATTGAATACATCCAAATTTGAATGGAGTTTAAAAAGTATGAATTGAATACACCCATAATTGAATAGACTTCTATAAAATTGTGATTGAATACACCTAAACTTTCAAATTTCTTTAAAATCTAAATTGAATACACCCCCTAAATGAATACTCCTGATATGAGTATGCGAAGTAAATTGAGTTTTCTTCTAATGCTGGCAATTTTCTCGTGGATAACGACATTGCCGATCCATTACTGTCCAAAAATAAAGCACAATCGCGCAAAGATTCCACATTCTCCCACGTTTTGGCAACAATGTTTAACTTGTAGACATAAAAGTCCTCCGCTACTCCGTAATTGTGCCCTAAGAATTCCTGCACCACAAGCAAAAGCTCACCCATTAACTCCAGTAACCATTTTTTACCACTCGTCATGCATCTAAGAACAATGGAAGGTTCAAATCTCATGATCTTGGTGGGATGGTTATTATAGGTGTCCCCAAAGTCCCAAACTTGAATTGAGTGGTCCAAGGACAGTGCAAATAAATAATGGCCATTGTTATGGAGTACGATATCAAAACAGCTGCCATAATGATCATGCGAATCCTCTAAGTCAGTCCATGCCCCCGCAACATCGTTTTCTCCGCCTCTGCCGTGCTGATAGGATGTTAGTCCTCTTGGTCTCGGTCCATGGGCGGAACTAGGTAGAGGGCTACCATGGGCTCTAGCCCAGGTAGCTTTTTATAAAATTAAAATATATTACATAGAGTTTAATGTTATTCATCACATAAAAACTTAGTAGCCTACTCAAATGTAGTATTGTAACCCACTGTCCACTAAATTTTTGTGGGCATATAATCATGTTATATTTAATTTGTTTGCTCAATTAATAAAATAATCTCTTAATAAACACATGATTTTAACTCTCAACCTTTTACTATTTATCCCAATCTGTACTTTAATATACTTCTAGAAAAACTATAGAAACAGTAAGTACCAAAACAAAAATTGGTCATTAGATTTTAAGCTATAACAACTTTAACTAGCCCACTCATTGAAAAATTCCTAGTTCTGCCCTTGTCTTGATCGAGACATGGTATCATGAATTACCACGACAAAGTTGTTGCGATAGGGGTCCGAGGAAAGCACAACTTTTCTGATTGAAGACCCGCACCGGCGCAAGGGAGGAAGCGTCTTGCTTTTTCTAGATATTGGATTGAAAAGACGAATCCCATAGATTTCGTCGAATAATATTGACCCCACATCCAGCATCACTAGCCACCCATGTCATGAACCACCCACCAGCTACCTATCATGTGATGAACCCGGAGGGGAATCGACATTGCCAGGAAAGCCTTGAGACACTTTCCAGTCCATCTTGTAAACCTTATTATCTGCCAGGCTGAAGAAGCATATGCCCTCCCTATCACCATCACCAGGGAGCTTGGGCCATCTACTAGGCGATTTGATGATGGGGAGCATGAGCCATGGATATTGAGGAGGCAACGCGGCAGCAGAGGTACACCATCTTGCAGCGCGGTTCCAAGAAGAACAGACAGTTTCAAAGTGAACAATGTCCATGAAATTTGAAGCGAGCTTTTTCACGATCAACCTTAACAGCTCAGGTTGGATTTCATCAGCCCACTTATTTGGTGTTGCAATTATGCTTGAATATTTTAGCATCCTCCTTTGGTCTACTTATTTGGTGTTGATGTTGTGCTTGTTAACGTGAGTCTCATAATTAATCAAGGATATTTACTTTCTTGATTAATTAAGGGATTTACTTTCCTATTTTTTATATAAGTGATAAATCATTGTTCAATTAGGAGATATTTTCCTAATTCTTTACGGTATCTAATTCCTTGTAAGACCCTCATGTAAACTCCTATATATACCTTATTATGGAGAAGAATAAAACTCAACCTAATATATTCAAACCATATTCATATTTTAGCATGGTATCAGAGCAATCGATCCTAGGTTGTCTCTAAACTCTTATCTCAAATTTCTCATATTCAAATCCCAAACCCTAAATCAAATTCCTCATATTTTCCCCAAATCCAAATCCCTAAAATCTGAAGTCCTCAAATCCTCTTATCAAAATCCCTAAACACATACCTCTTAAATCTAATTCCTACATCAAATTCATACATCAAATTCCTCCAATCACAATTCCTCATATTCTTATATCACATCTTACTTTCGCTGCAATGTCAAGAACCCCTACGATTCTCCCCTTATTGCAGACTCAAAGAAGCATGTGGTCAATCCTGCTGGCCCAGCTACTTGGACTTATACTTCTATCGCCACCACCAAAGGTTCTACTTTTCATACGCCATCTAAAAAATCCGCATGGATTATCGACTCAGGTGCTACGGATCACATGACTTTTGATCCTAGCCAACTTATTAGTTGCAAATCATCCACTCTGTCGGCGGTGTCTAATGCTAATGGTACCCCCTCCGCTGTGGTTAGGAAGAGCTTTCTATATCTCTCTACTTCCCTACATCTGGATTCTGTATTACTTGTTCCATCTTTGGACCATAACTTATTATATGTTGCACAACTTACTACTACTTTGGGATGTACATGTCATGAACCACCCACCAGCTACCTATCATGTGATGAACCCGGAGGGGAATCGACATTGCCAGGAAAGCCTTGAGACACTTTCCAGTCCATCTTGTAAACCTTATTATCTGCCAGGCTGAAGAAGCATATGCCCTCCCTATCACCATCACCAGGGAGCTTGGGCCATCTACTAGGCGATTTGATGATGGGGAGCATGAGCCATGGATATTGAGGAGGCAACGCGGCAGCAGAGGTACACCATCTTGCAGCGCGGTTCCAAGAAGAACAGACAGTTTCAAAGTGAACAATGTCCATGAAATTTGAAGCGAGCTTTTTCACGATCAACCTTAACAGCTCAGGTTGGATTTCATCAGCCCACTTATTTGGTGTTGCAATTATGCTTGAATATTTTAGCATCCTCCTTTGGTCTACTTATTTGGTGTTGATGTTGTGCTTGTTAACGTGAGTCTCATAATTAATCAAGGATATTTACTTTCTTGATTAATTAAGGGATTTACTTTCCTATTTTTTATATAAGTGATAAATCATTGTTCAATTAGGAGATATTTTCCTAATTCTTTACGGTATCTAATTCCTTGTAAGACCCTCATGTAAACTCCTATATATACCTTATTATGGAGAAGAATAAAACTCAACCTAATATATTCAAACCATATTCATATTTTAGCATGGTATCAGAGCAATCGATCCTAGGTTGTCTCTAAACTCTTATCTCAAATTTCTCATATTCAAATCCCAAACCCTAAATCAAATTCCTCATATTTTCCCCAAATCCAAATCCCTAAAATCTGAAGTCCTCAAATCCTCTTATCAAAATCCCTAAACACATACCTCTTAAATCTAATTCCTACATCAAATTCATACATCAAATTCCTCCAATCACAATTCCTCATATTCTTATATCACATCTTACTTTCGCTGCAATGTCAAGAACCCCTACGATTCTCCCCTTATTGCAGACTCAAAGAAGCATGTGGTCAATCCTGCTGGCCCAGCTACTTGGACTTATACTTCTATCGCCACCACCAAAGGTTCTACTTTTCATACGCCATCTAAAAAATCCGCATGGATTATCGACTCAGGTGCTACGGATCACATGACTTTTGATCCTAGCCAACTTATTAGTTGCAAATCATCCACTCTGTCGGCGGTGTCTAATGCTAATGGTACCCCCTCCGCTGTGGTTAGGAAGAGCTTTCTATATCTCTCTACTTCCCTACATCTGGATTCTGTATTACTTGTTCCATCTTTGGACCATAACTTATTATATGTTGCACAACTTACTACTACTTTGGGATGTATCGTAACATTTTGGCCGAATCATTGTGTTTTTCAGGACGCCCTCACAAGAAAGACGATTGGTTGTGGTACTCGAAGGGGCAAACTTTACTACTTGGACTGGGCATCGAATTATGAGGTCAAGGTTGGTCAAGCTTTCAGAACCAGTGAAACTCGTTCTAATGGGGAGAGAGACAAAATTTGGTTATGGCATAAATGTCTTGGGCATGCCTCATTCTGTTATCTTAAGAAGTTGTTTCCATCATTATTTTCCAGTCTTGATGTTTCCAGCTTCCAGTGTGATACGTGTGAATTGGCTAAAAGTCATCGTGTCTCGTTCCCATTAAGTTCAAATAATAGTTTGGTTTCGTTTTCCCTTGTTCATTCTGATGTTTGGGGACTTGCTAAAATTGCCACTCCGGCAGGGGCGCGATGGTTTGTCATGTTTATAGATGATTGCACACGCATGACTTGGGTTTCCCTTCTCAAAACTAAAGAGGAAGTCAGTTCCATGTTTCAACAGTTTTATCAAATGGTGGAGACTCAGTTTCATGCCAGAATTCTGACAAGGGCGGAGAATTTCTTAACCATGATCTTAACCAGTTCTTACAAGATCATGACATCATACATCAACGCTCATGCCCTTACACTTCCCAACAGAATGGGGTGGCTGAAAGAAAGAACAGACACTTATTGGAAGTCGTTCATGTCTCTCTCTTTGGTGCCAATATGCCACGACACTTTTGGGGCGAAGCAGTCGTTTCTGCAGCGTACCTTATCAATCGGATTCCATCTAGTATCCTAAATTTTCAAACACCACTTCAAACATTTCACCACCATATCCAAACATCTCCCACCCCAAACCTAGAACTTCGAATTTTTGGCTGTGTTGTATTTGTCCACTTACATGATCACCAACAAAGTAAATTGGATCCCCGAGCTGAAAAATGTGTTTTCATTGACTATGCACTTCATCAGAAAGGATACCGGTGTTATCATCCTCCTAGTCAGAAGGTCTTCACCTCTATAGATGTTGTGTTTCGAGAACATGGCTTATATTTTTCAACAACCCAGGAGGAGAATTGAGAATCCACCACTGCTCCAATTCTTGATTTTTTTCCCCAGAACGTCACTCTGCATCAAAATGATTGGTTGTTAGTGGAACACAACCGATCACCTCCCCTTAGTTCTTCAACTACAAAGAATTTGCTTTGAAATGACCGGTCGCCAGTAGACAGCGACCAGTAGCCAAAAGAAAACGATTAACTGTCTCCACGCTATCAAAATCAAGATGAGGAAATTGAACCGTTTTATGAGATTTTGTCATCTTCAACTCCAGTACCGCACCAATCACCTACTGAGGAAGTCATTCAGGTAACATCTTTTCCTGAAACTGATAATACTAATGAAATATCCTATGATGATTTGATTTCAGAAGGTACAGAGCATACATATCAACTTCCAGAAAGGAAGAACCATGTCAAACCTTTAGTAGAATATGAAGAAAATCTTAAAGCCAAGGGAAAATACCCCATAAGTAATTATATATCTCTCAGCAAATTATCAGAGTCACGTTATGTGAAGCAGTTGGCTGACTCTGTCCCCAACAGTGTAACTGAAGCACTAGAAAACCCAAAATGGAAAGAAGGTATGAATGAAGAAATGCGAGCTCTCTAAAATAATGTCACATGGGAACTCGTGCCCTTACCTCATGGAAAGAAGACAGTAGGATGCAGGTGGATTTATACTATGAAACTTAAAGCAAATGGATCCATTGAAAGATATGAAGCTAGATTGGTGACAAAGGGGTACACACAGAGGATAGACTACAAGGAGACCTTTGCCCCAATAGCCAAGATTAACATTATTAGAGTTCTATTGTCTCTAACAGCAAATCTTGATTGGCCACTACATTAGTTTAATGTCAAAAATGCATTCTTACATGAAGACTTGGAAGAAGAAGTATATATAGACTTACCCCGAGGATGTAATTCAGCTTCTGACAAGAAAAATCAAGTTTGTAAGCTCAGAAAGTCATTATATGGGTTAAAGCAATCTCTCAGGGCATGGTTTGACAGATTCACTAAATCTATGAAGAATTTTGGATATATACAGAGTAATTCAGATCACACCTTGTTCTTGAAGCGTGATGAAGGAAACTTACTGCATTAATTGTTTATGTAGATGATATAATTGTAACTGGAAACGACACAGAAGAGCAACTGAAGTTGCAAAAGTATTTGTCTCAGGAATTTGAGATGAAGGATTTAGGTGATCTGAAGTACTTTCTCGGAATCGAAGTAGCAAGATCAAAAACTAGTATATTTATGTGTCAAAGGAAGTATGTAATAGATCTACTCACTGAAATAAGAATGTTTGGATGTAAGCCTGCTGACACATCCATTGAGATGAATCACAAGTTGTGTGAAGACATGGACCAAGAACCAACCAATAAAGAACAGTACCAACGCCTTATTGGAAGGTTGATATACATGGCACACACAAGACCAGATATTGCATATGTTATGAGTGTGGTTAGTCAGTTTATGCATTCGCCCAGTGTTTCTCATAGGAATACAGTTGATCGGATCTTAAGATACTTAAAGTTAGCCCCTGGGAAAGGATTAATGTTCTCAAAAAATGGAGATCTTGAAGTTGTTGGATACAGAGATGCTGATTGGGATGGTTCTATTACAGATAGAAGCTCTACTTCATGTTACTTTACATTCGTGGAAGGTAACCTAGTCACTTGGCAGAGTAAAAAGCAAAATGTGGTTTCTCGGTCTAGTGCAGAAGCAGAGTATTGAGGAATGGCTCATGGAGTTTGTGAATTATTGTGGATCAGAAAACTCTTGACAAAATTGAGCTTCAAGCCAGAAAAGCCAATGGAGTTGCATTGTGACAACAAGTCAGCTATCGATATTGCCCATAATCCAGTTCAACATGATCGAACCAAACATGTTGAAGTTGATAGACATTTTATCAAAGAAAAAATTGAGAAAAAGATCATCCACCTACTATTCGTAAAATCAGAAGATCAACTGGCAGATATCTTAACCAAAGCTGTTTGTGGAAGAGTATTTCATGACTCACTTACCAAATTGTGCATTGGTGACATATATGCACTAACTTGAGGAGGAGTGTTGATGTGAGTCTCCTAATTAATAAAGGAGATTTACTTCCTTGATTAATTAAGGGATTTACTTTCCTATTTTTTTTTTTATATAAGTGATAAATCATTGTACAATTATGAGATACTTTCATAATTCTTTACTGTATCTAATTCCTTGTAAGACCCTTATGTAAACTCCTATATATACCTCCTTATGGAGAAGAATAAAACTCAACCTAATACATTCAAACCATAATCATATTTTAGCAGTGCTTGAATATTTTAGCATCCTTTTTTTGGTGGTACAAGTAGTAGCAGCTGTTACGGATCATGATGATATTGGGTTATCTAGATTCCCAAGTATTTACATGGATTTATAGGCTGCACTTATGATATAAATCCCATTTGAATTAAGATATACTATAAATCTTGGGTGTTCTTAAATGAACTCTAAAATTAATTACAAATTTAGTGTTATATATAATCTTAGACATAGTTTTATAAAGAAACCCTATACACTTTAAAAACTATAAACACACCCAAAAAGAACCTAAAAATTGACAATAGCTATTTTTCAGTTTATTTGTATGTGTAAAATACCTATATTGCCCTTGTATTATGGATTTGAGAGAGAAAAATCAGATCTGCCAAAAAATCAAATCAGATTCATTTTCTCCTTTCTTGCTGGTGCTTTCTCAGTGTTGGAGCAAGAGGAGCTTCCATTGAAGCTTAGTCTCAGGTCCAACTATATTCTGCATTTTTGATCTACAATTTTCAGTATTTCACCTTCGATTTCTTATTCTAAAATCGTGCTTATATTCATATATTTTTTTCGGATTGTTCGGAACATCGAACGAACCTCGATCAGATGCTCCTAGCTCTACTCCTCATCTTCGAGCTCTACTCCTCTTTTGCCACTTCGACGTTGTTGTCGTCGTCATCATCGTCGTTGTCGTCGTCGTTTGGTTTGGACTTGAGATTTTTGATCTTTTACTTCAATTATGTATTTCTGTTTAGATTTTAGTTGTTTTTTAGAATGTATTTTAAGCTTTGATGATCGATTTATCTTTTGTTAGTATTTCAGTTATGAATCTCATTTTTGTTTAACAATGTACTTTTATGACAGAGTATTAACAATGTACTTCTATGACATAATAGTATTAATAATCTAGGCTCAGCTTGTTTTTAATACTCCGTGAATTTTTTTTTATAATAAATTGTTTAGGTTTTTAAAAAAAATCTGGGTTTGGCTTATTTTGAGTTAGTCTGGTTTGTTCTTTCTTCATCCTTTCTTTGGTAGACATGTATTAGAAATAGCAACATGACATTAAACTAGCAGTGTTATTACCCTACACTAGAATATTACAGGGGGTAGACGTGCATTAGAAATAGGATGTCATATGAAACTAGCAGTGTTATTACCCTAGACTAGAACATTACAGTCATTAATCAACATGACAATAAAGGTGTGGAACATTACAACCATTAATCAACATGACGCGTTAATGAAGCTACGGTTTTCGAGACGTTTTGTTTGTAATGAATCGTTTGGGTTTTTTTATAAAATTGGGATGGGCTTGTTTTGGGAGTTTTTTAAGTTTTTTGTGTTGTGTTTCTTTTATGTTGATCAGTGTCAATCACGTAATTTATAGAAATTTCAACACCAATTTCTTATGTAGTAAATGGGTTTTGAGTGTGTTTCTAAAGTGCATTTCATATGGTTTTTTTTATATATATAATTTCAGCCCCTATTTTGGGTATATTAGTGAAGCTCCCAAAATTAATTGAGTACACCATACTACTAAACTATTTATTAAATACTAATTTACTCTAATATAAAAAGACCAAAAAGTATTTATTTCCAAGAAGAACAGACGCTTCAAAGCGAATGATGTTGACGACATTCAAAGCTAAACATTGGATTTTATTTTATGAATACATGAGTAAAATCCCTTGAAATCAAATAGGAGTGAGTCGCATGCTAAACATTATTTGATTTGAATATATCAATGCAACTTTACACACTATTTGTTTTTATTGTGAATAACAATAACATTACATATTTTACATTTGTGTACAGCCATTATAGTTTATAAGGCTGCGACCAATGAACTATAATTTTTCTGTACTTACTGACTGCAATTTTTTTTTTAAATGCAGTATAACATTACAAACTCTGAAAAACATGAACCATCCTCAATAGTTATAGTAGCCTCTCCTCCGGCGCGCTCTCGGCCTCACCAGGGTGGGTACTTGGTCATCCCCAGGAAATTCCCATCTGGCAATCGTCCCATCCCAAGAAGAGCTGACCAACATCGGATAGAGAGGATGCCAACTACAGTCTCTTACAGGTCCTTCGTGATGGTTGAGTCTCGCAACTTGAGCTCCGGTCACCTTCATAGAACAAACAAAATTACTAGAGATCCAATAATCTCAGGTTCCCAAGACAGAATTTTTCAAGAAGGGAACATGTTAGCCTATTACTGAGCTTTGTAGTAGTGACAAGCCAACAAGCTGAATTTAGGAGAAATTCTCATGGGAGTGTTATTTTATTAGAGACTGCCAGCCATGATTCTTGCTTTGCCACAAGGAACTCATCATACAAGCATTTACTTTTGTCTTCTTTTTATGGGTCGTACAGATGAATACGAAAAAAGATGATAGCTACCTCATCCCATTACATCAAATATTGAACAGGATGACATGAGAAAACATTGTGTTGATGATGTGAAACCTGAAAGATGAGTTACGTACCAGATCATATATATAGACACAATGATCACTAGATCCAGTGTAGATGTACTTTTGTCCAGTACTGCAATAAGTAGGATACGAAGTTAGAAACATACTCCTAAACAACTGTCAACACAGCCAACTGATTATATAACAGATGAAACGGATTCCCTAGAACCAGAAAAGCAGCCAGTAAGATTGTAGGCTGAATCAATGCCAGATGTTTCACTTGACCAACTTCCCTAGATTCATGATCATAATCTGATAAATGAACTTGGTGTTGAACTTTGAAATAAAGCATAATAAAAAAACAAAGACCAGGGTTAACTATGAAAGCAGGTAATGGAACATACACCTACTCCAGCAGTTCATAAGTCATTTGAACTCATAACTCAGTCAATACATCATGAACAGTAAAGCCTAGTCCATTCAATCTTGGACTTGCCACAAGGTTTTTTTCACTTTATTATTATTACTTTTTTGAACTGACCAGATTCAAGCCAATATCACTATCTGCAACTTTGGATTCACACATCTTTGAAGCCAAATTTAAAATTAATACAGAAATGAGAATTACCTATATGCTGGAGAAAAGTAACAGCGAATTAAAGTACGCAGGACTCCATGGCCTCTATATGTAGCCAATGACTGATCATTTGGATGTTGCAAAGTTTTTGCATGAGCTGGGTACTCCATCCATCTGTAATCCCAGTCATGATCTCTAAGCCTTGGGCTGCTGGTTGGAAAATTGAAAATCAGTGGCCACAAAAGTAAATCCATACACTAATATTTAACCATGGAGGGTCTAGACTTTAGTCATTGACCCAGTATCTCAGTATCTCAGTATCTCAATAATAAACCGATTTCACAAGAGTGTTTATTCCGCACGCAGACAGGCACAAACAAAGGAGATACATGAACTGCATGTTTTAATATGGTAAAAACACAATAGTGACATTAAGACAAAGTGGTTCAACAAAGATCAGAGACATATTCCATGCTAAGTAATAGGAGCTGCTGTATTCGAATTTCACAAAGATGGTCCTCTTTTCACCACGCTTTAATATGACCAAACAATCTGATAAAGAGGCTCGATAAATTCCACCATGCTCTAATCATAGTAACTATTCGCAAATGATCTACCTTTCCACTTCTAATTGTTCCCCAACCTTTTACCATCCCTTCTACAGACAGAAAATATCATGATATAAAGTTCTATTAAGCTGTCAGCACTCAATATGTATGTTACCATATCATCTTCTTTATATTATTGACATAAAACAATTAATAGCATCATAGGTTAACCTATCAAAGAAAGACTGCCAAAACCATGTCAAAAATCAGATATTAGTATGAGAATATAACAAAATTGGGTCAACTTATCCCATGCTGTTGACAGCAATAAATATTATATTTTTATAGCACTGAACAGAAATCCAATAAGTTAACATGAGCAGAAAAGGGAAACAAGTAACACAGACTTACTACATGGCTCTAGAGGACATCTTTCTTATATCCCAGAGTTTGGTAGTCTGGTCCTTCCCATTTGATATGAAGTAACGCCCATCTCCCCTACTATCAAGAAATGTAACACCTTCAAGATGTCCCATCAGGACCCCAGCTGCTTGTCCTTTTGTGATTAAGCAGCGTCTATCCCAAACCTGTACAAGAAAATAAATAGGACTATAATTCATGGGGACTCATAGCTCCAATGGTGAAGTATCCTCCTTCCCCAGGCCTTAGGCCTCCTTAATCAGAAAATAAAAGGACAAAGGTTCCTTCACTGAAAAATCTTTAATAACAATGTTTAAGACATTTCAGTGACAACAAAAAGGAAATGCCAAAATAAAAGAAAATTAAAAACAAGTACCAAACAATGTAGAGATCATGATTTCTACATCTTATACCATATAAAGACCATGGATGAACCCTACCTTACAGAGATTATCGTCACCGCCAGAATATATGAGATGTCCAGTCTCATCCGCAAAGCACACAGTGTTTACATCAGACTGCAACAAAAGTTAAATAAAATAATCAACTGATGCCTGTAAGTTCCATCCAGATAGTCTCTGGAGAAAGGAGCTAGAATGGGCAACTATGTGCCTTTAAAAGTAGATAGCAAACTTCTTAGAAACCACCATTAAGGAGTAATTTGATTATATTCGATTTTTTCAGAGCCTTTACCGCGTGTGCTGGTATTCGGAGGTTAATTTTATTTGCTTGGAGATCATAAACATATATTGAAGCATCACTACTTGCAGCTACAAGTTCTCGCCCATCAGTTGAAAATCTAACTGAGAAAATTCCAAATTCATCCTCATCACCATCAACAGAAAAATCCAGACCTTCATGAATTTCCTGAACAGAAAAGGTAATCTTTAAATGTAAGAAAGAATAAATATGAACAAGAAAGTGATTCTATGAAGCGCACCATCATAACTGAAAATCACCTGATTATTAAAATTGAATAAGTAATTATCCAAAAAAATAAAATGTACACTTCAAAAAGTAAAAAAAACAGGTTATAATGAGATAAGCATTATAGTGGGGAGTTGTAACATCTTGCAAAATCACCAATATGCCAACAGATTATCCAGGAAAAACAATAATTTTGAAATGAAGTCAACAAAACATCCCTAGGTAACCTCAGATAGCATAGCTAGGAAGTACTATCTACCAGCTTTCATGATCTGGTAACATTAATAAACATTCCTACTTTACAAGATGATAACAACGATTCAAACAACACATATGCTGAAAAGTATCATAGTTTATAAAAAGGCACAGGAACGTTATGGATCACACCAGATCTGTAAACAAACCAATTAAACTAGTATCTACAAGATATTCTGTATTAAATTCAAAGCTAGTAGCACTAGTGTCACGTACCGTAACATTTGCAAGTGACTCTGTCATAGAAGATCCAACATTGACAATATTGACAATAGGTGTCATGCTAGCATAAACCTGCAATTTTACATTCAAATTAATCGTGACTAATAATAGTTCTGGAATGATGATCATAATTGTCAGGAAAACGAAAACAAGCCAAATATTCAATAAATCTTGATGACATATCTTTATCATCCCAGACACATCTAAACCTATTCTATAGAGAGGAGAAAGAACTACATATACACAAGCTAAGGAATTTGCACGTAGTGTAACAAAATGTATAGAATAGTTTGCATGATGATTGAGAGCAGATATGGGTTGATCTTGCATTTGCTAATTAGAGAATTAAGCAACCAATCAAAAAGATTATTTTTCTATGAAGAAAACCTACAATTTAAAAGTCTTAGTTATATACAGAAGGTCCATTTGATTCAATAAAGCATCAGTAACTCACAAGATAACGTTGATCTGGCGATAGAGATGTATCAGTAATTGTCCATCTCAAGCTTTTGGTTAGGATGTCCTTCTGAACTTTCCATCCCTTATCAACATTATATATTCTAATATGGCCTCCCTGTTTCATTAAAAGAAGAAAGTTTGGACTCTGTATCTGCATGAATGTTTAATGGGGAAATTGATTTTTTTTTAAGCACAAGAATAAATAGTTATATCATTAAGCCCAAAACCCCAATACCTGAAATCCAGCAACAAAAAACAAACCATCATTTGAAAATTGAGAAACATAAGCAGGACTTGTTGACTCGTCCACCCCCCAAGGACCATTAATGGGCAGATACCGGCTCAAAACATGGCAACCGTCAGCAGACGAGAATCTCCCGCGTCCTGAATGATTACTTTCACGACCAACCAACATTTTCATTGTTGAAACCAGTAACCTCGACTTTCCAGGCATGTCCTGGCTCAAAAGCTGATGGGGTCTTGATCTATGCTTAGTGAGTTGAGCAATTTCATGATCAAAATCATTTGATACTTCATTGGGTCCTTTGCTTGAACCAGAACCTTCAACAGCATTTCCACTATCACAAGCGCTATTATCTTTTCCAAACCTCGTTCTGTAACTCATTTTGTAATTTTCCCCAATACCCACTACTCAATGGGCCATCACATTAATGTAATTCAGTTCTAACAGTAGTGACCCTGCACATAATTAATGTATAATTCAGAGTTGGGACCAAAAAAAGCCCTAACTTTCAACGTGAAAAATCTTCCTATTCGCAGTTCTCGCACACACAAAAAGTCAAGCGCAGCTCAACTTAATCAAACAGCTTAATCAAGCTCAGTAAAACCCAATTCCAATTCCTCAGAAACCAAACAATACTCAAACAAAATATTCTAACTTTGAATTCCCATTTAACATTTGTCGGCAGAGGCAAACAAAACAAAGCGTTGAAAGATAATCAGAGAGCTACTTACTTACCTTGGTGAATCGAATTATGATCCCTAGAAATTGGGGGAGAGAGGAGGCGATGTGTGAATTGGAACTGAGCGAGATCGTTGATGAACCGAAATGAATAGCTTTTGGGTCGAAGGAGAGGTCGTTAAGGTGGAGCTATACGTGGCATGGTCATGGTGAAACAGATGATGGTCTATAGTCTTCCGACTCAGAGACCGTTGCTGACTCGTGGAGTCGTGGACCATCCAAAATGAAACAAATCGGAAAATGTTTTTTTTTTTTTTTTTTTTTTTTTTTTTTTCCAAAAAAATAAAAAATTTTTTTTGTGTTTCCAACAAATATCAAATCCCGTGCAAGGCTATCTTGGTCAATAATATGTATAATAGCCGAATTTTCATCGTATACTTTATCGGATGACTAGCCCTTGGAAGAAAAGATAACATGAGTAGTTATATTTCATAAAAGTAGAACTTATTATCTGATTGGTTTTTAATTTTAATTTTTTTAATATAAAAAAATGTGAATTTACTATATCATCTTCATTTAATTAATAATTTTAATTCTTAATGTTTAAATTAACCAAGGGCATTTTTTGGTATTTTGAATGTTTCACCATTCTCTGTCTTTTGTTTTATATATATAGATACACATGCATATTTTATAGAAGTTTGTTTTTTCATGACCTTTCTTATTGAGAATGATGATAATAAACTCACACACATTACATGGATGTTAAAATTCGAACTCAAAATTTTGTCTAGAGAAACAATTACTCCAAACTACTATACTAGTAGGTTTTGCATTTTATACAAGTTAAGTACAAATGAGATACAGAGAATCCATTTCCGTTTTGCATTCTATATCGAGAAGAATGTTACCATTAATCAATGATTCATGTATGTGGGAGTATTATGATCCATTATACCATATCAAATTATCAATTGTATAGTGAGTCCTCTCCTTCAATATCAATTGCAAAGTTCTCTGAAAATGAGCGGTTGGGATCCATACTCATCAACGGTTGAGAATCAATCATCAACGGCTGAGAATCAATCACGTACAATCATCCGTGTACTTGTGAATGATCTGAACTGTTATACCAACATCTTGGTTCCTCCTCCCACAGTTTTCCATCTAGGAGAATGTTACCGTCAATCATATTTATGTGCACCAACTGATTGATATCATACTTTGCCTAAAACTTGGAGAGGTCAAAACCAGGGCATAACTCGTTATTTATAGTTTGCATACAACCTTGCTTTCCACAGTTTTCTATCCAAAAACGAATACAAGCATTTCTTTTTCTATATCGCATTCTATATTTTGAGATATTTGTGTTGCATTTGTAACTTCTTGTATTTCTCTGACATAAAAAAAAAACTCCTAAAAGGTTGTTAGTTCATATACTTTGTCTTCTGTCTGGATTGAGGCTTGCCTGAATTTCTTCTAGTGTTTTCCCTTTGGTTTCTGGGACTATCTTGGCCACAAATAGAATGGTCAACAAACAGACTGCAGAGTATAGGAAATAAGTTCCTGTAAAATAATTCAAATAAGTAAATTTGAATCAGACTTCAGCTGTGAAACAATACAAAACCAATTTTCAGTATCATGCAATGTGTTTGGTTCAAGAAGTTTTACTTACCTGGGGAACTCCATCTCATCAGAAAGTTGTAAGTATAGGAAACTATCCAAGCACCTGACCAGTTCACAAGCACCACCAAGCTCCCACCAACTCCCTTAATATCAATTGGGAAAATCTGCAAAGAGAAACCATATTACATACAGAAAATATATGTAATTTGATCCATAAAGTATTCTGCAGCTCTGCTGTCTATTTGGTTCAAGAGGCCTCAAATATGAATGGTTTTGAGGAAATGATAAGTTTTCCACAGTTTACCTCAGACATTATCACCCAAGGGCCTGCTCCCATCCCGATGGAGAAAAACGCAACGTAAATCTGATTTCACAGGGACAAATGTAACCCAAGAAAAATGAGAAGATGTTGTGAAGAAGTTTGATGATAATTTTGAAAGTTTGAAGGTGTAATGGTTAACTTACCAGGACACCAGACATGGCTATTATCGGTACCCAATCGAGCAGCAAACCTTGTCCCTGATTTACAAAAGATGTTGAATTACAAACTTAAGTTAAGACCATGATCAAACAGGGAAAAGACAGAAGATTTTTGTTATAGAATGTAGTTTTGGATTTTTGATACCTTGAGAGAGAAGGAAGTTCCTGCCAGCATACAGCCTACGAACATCCCAGCTGCTGAAACCTTCATGACATAAAAACAAACACCTATAATGAAAGGCTTACCCTATAAAAATGTCATTTTAGAAAAAGGTCAGGGTTTCTAGATCAATGGCTACCATTACAAGAACTCTCCTTCCTGTCTTATCCATAAGCAATGCTCCTACTAGAGTTATTGGGACCTGTCAATGAATTTTACATGAGCTAAGTTTAGATGGACAAACTCAAACATGAACAGGAGAAAGTGATTTACCTGAAGACACGCATAAGCTATGGTTCCAATTTTGCTTGAAACTCCTGCAATTGGCATTACAGAAATAGAGTAAGTTTCACAGGAAAGACTTGCATCAAAAACCAAGTGAAATGTAGTATTAGGAAAGCCCGGATTATTACCAGCTGATTCGAATGTTTCGCTTGCATAGAATTGTACACCATTAATACCCGCAAATTGTTGAAATACCATTAGTCCAACCCCAATCTAAAACCATGACCATGTTCAGGAGATTTCAGTAAGAAAATAAGTTATTTGGTTAACATCATTCGAGAAAATATGAAATCATGAGATGAAAGTTGCTTACAATCACAGCACGGATGTTTCTGCTTTGAAATAAATCCAAAATTGAGGCTTTTGGAAGACTATTTAGAGTAGCAATAAATTCCTGTCAACAAATAGACAGGGTAACTTTGTTGGAAATCTTCATTTTCAATGTTAAAAAGGTGATTGGATTAATATTTTTCAGGTTGGCAGGAAGTACTTGAATTTCGGTCATTTCATCGGATATATCAGCATTATTTCCACGGAGTGTCTGCAGTGCAACTTCGAATTCTTTGTCACGGCCAACCTTTGCCTGAAAACAATGGTTTTAGCCTCACACATCTTTTTCTCCATTGTGGTGGGAACATGAAAAACAAAAGGTAAAAGAAAACTAATCTGATTTGAATTCTCACCAACCATCTAGGAGACTCGGGTACAAAGCATACACCCAAAAGCAAGATAAGGCAAGGTACAGTTGCTTCAGATTGAAACCAAACAATCAGTCCCTTCAAAATTTTCAGTTTCTTCCAAAGGAAACTCAGTCGAACCATTTTTTGTAATTAAGCATAGCAAGATACCCTATGGAATAAGAATTTACCTATTAGAGCTAGTGCTCTCCAGTTTATAATTGTTCCTACTATGAATGCAAATGATCCTCCAGTAACAATGAAAACCTGCAGAACAAGCATAGAAAAAGGAGTACAGTACAGTTTTGTCTTAATGATCATATATTTTTCAAGCAGGTATGCACTCAATTCTAAATTCTCCTACCTGATTTAATGTTGCAAGCCCTCCGCGGAGATTCTTAGGCGCTATTTCTGCTATAAATACTGGGACCTGTTCATCCACTTTTTCTAATTTTGGTTAAAACTTGGATTTATCATCATCAAATAGATTAAACAGTCTTGCTCAGCTATTAAAAAGAAATGGCTTGAGATATATCATATATATATACCACATAAGAGAAAGCTGCAATTCCATATCCTGTGAGAAACCTTCCTGTGTCAAGTGACAGAGCTCCCTGCACAAGAGTCATAACAAATACCGTAATATGAACCTGTTCAATTACATTTAACAACTAAAAACTGTGCAAACAGCATATACCTGAGAGAAATAGATGGCTAGCCATGCTACAATGCAAATCACAGAGGACACTCTCATCGCCTGCTACCAATAAAATTTCAAGAAGCTTAGTGCAATGGAGAAGCTTCAGTTTTTTCTTTTTTCTTTTACACCAGAAAGTCACATTTACCATACCCCTTTTCGGCCGAGAAAATCTGCAATCTTACCACTTGTTATAGCACCCAGCACTGCACCAATTGATAGTATAGAGCCAAACATTGAGTACTGCCAGAACACTGAAAATTACTAATAATCCCTTTACTATTAAGGCATGTCTAAAACCATCAAAGAGAACAACAATGCAAACCTCCGCTAGAGAGAGATTGAGATCTTTCCTGATAGCAGATTGAGTTGGTGCTGAATATCCAACCTGCCAAAAGAAAAACTTTAAGCTAAACAACCAACTCTTTTTTCGGTTTTGGCCCCCCTAATCAGAAGAAAGCACAGAAAAGCCTATTCTTTATATAATCTACTCTCAGTATTTGTCTAAAAACACAATGTTCATAGAGAATTTCAAGAGAACTTACGCATATTCCGAATTGGAAAGAGCCACAAACAGCAACACCTGTGCTAAGCAGAACCATGCTAATGGATTCACTTTGAAATTCTTTCCCACTGCCATCATCTTCATGAGCAACAACTTTCCGCCGCCTAATGAAAGGCTGTTCCAACTCCTCTTGGTTACTACTAGTTTCTCCACGTTCAACATCTTTGCCCTGCTCCATTGCCAATATACGTCTCTCTCTCAGTACTCTTACAAAGTAATGTATGGTGCATTATAATCAATGCAGTAAGTATACATCAACTGCCACATCAAATGAGATCTGAAAATGTGATTCTTAGCATTTATCCTCCAAAATTTCAATTCAAACAATAAGTATGAAATCTTCCTGAGGTCTATTTTAATCAACAACACATATCATGAGAAGGTTATTTAGATTTCATGGCCTACATAAGATGTTTCTAGACTAAAACATGAATGGTTTCTAAAATCAAATTTAGATCCTTCATTTAACACACCATGACGCACATCTACTAATTATTAAAGTAATAATTTTTAACCCAAATAAAAAATGAGTTCTTCATCAAACATATGTTCACTTTCTTGTTTACTTTCTTCAATAATCCTTGCCTAGTTATTATTCGAACAAGTTAATGTTTGTAGCATAAACTTAACAGGAACTAAGGGGCAACAGAAAGAGAGATCAAACAAATTGTAAGCAGAGGTTGAAGAAATTAAGCAAACCTCCTTTCCCATTCTCTTTTTATGGTCAGACTCCTTCCCCATCATGAGCCCACACAATCCTCACAACCCTCAATGTGGGTTATGAACTTTTGATTGATTGATTGATTGATTGATTGATTGATTGATAATGCTGGTTTTGAGTCCCTGTTCAAGTACAAGCGCTGAGTTCTGTTATTTGAGGTTGGGTATGACACAAAGTATCAATGTAAATTGACCTCCTTTGGATCAATGAAATTAAATTGAAAAAAATGTCTTTGCTTTGGTATTTATGTATAAGTAGGACACTAGTGTTTTTTGGAACTTTTGTGGGTTGTTGTTTTGATTTTGATTTTGGTTGATGTGATGGAGGTGAAGTAGAGATGTGTGTTTGTGTGCGCGCGCGTGCGTGTTAGAGAGAGAGAGAGAGAGAGAGAGAGAGAGAGAGAAGTGTATAATTAGTATGCGTGTGATATGACAAGTTGTTAGAGTTGAAGGGTGAAGAGGATGGAGAAACAGAGAGATTAGCGGAGGAGAATTCATTGTACTCAAGGAAAACATATTTGTTTTGGAACGAGACTCTAACAAGAAGTTGGTTGTGAATCTTGTGTGGGGGTGCATCGTGCATGGCTTCAAAGTACAGTGCTCATTAGATATGATTGCGTATTTAAGGCCTTATATATGCTTCTCAAAGGAAGTGGCAAAGGTGTTTTCTGACAGTGAAAAGCATTTCTTACTGTTAATAGTAATTATTATCCTTGGCAAACATGTCGTGTCTGTGTGAAAAATTTGTTTTTATTATGAAAGTTTATTATGAGAATAATTTGTCTTCAATTTTGATATGAAAGTGGGTGCAACTAATGATGATCTTTGTATAAACTTTTGGTGGAGGGTCATATTGAGAATCGAGAAGATACAATGACAACTTGGAAATACGATCATGATTTCAGCCACTTGAAGTACACAAAAAAGGAGTAAGAGTATCCTGAAATACTCAATATTTATAGGTAAATTTATTTAATGAATTAAGTGTTGTACTGTTTGTTCATAGCTTCATCAGGTGCACTCAAAGTTTCATAAACTATTGCCGGCCCATCTTTAAGTACCAATATTTGAGAGGTATAGTTGGTTATATGAATTTATATATAGTGGGAGTAGGGATGGTAGAAATCCCTTTCGGGTACCGGGCCCTAACAGGAGGAGATTTTGAGGCAAAACAGAGATCAGGTACATGGATTCCCGAATTTAAAAAATACCCGACAAGTATGAAGCCGTGATGGTATTAGCATTCCCATCCCTAACCTGGCCCAATAGTTATATATTAATTTTTAAAAAGTCTTAATATATTTAAGATATGAAGGCACACCAGTACTCCTTGTGTTAAGATGAAATAATTAAAGCATTTAATACTTACCATTCAAATATAATAAAACAAAATATAAAAAGGTACCCTTTCTGTTTTTGGTCGATAAAACTAACTCTATTACTCAAAAATAGAGGGGCTTTGCTTGCGCCGTCCATCACCCACTCTCTCATATTTTTTTTCTTCCGTCTCTCTTCTCTGCTTCTTTTCCACCTCTTCCTCTTCTTATGCTCGTGCTCTTATTATATATTCTTGAAGTCTTGTAGACTTTTAGTACCTGCACATAGGGAGGCTATGAGGCTTTAGGATATCGTCTCTGACGTGCTTCACCATAACATGCTTGCTTTTTTAATCTTAATTTATTTTACTTTTATTTACCTATTATTTGTGTTGAGGCCCAAAAAATCAAAGGCTAGGCCCAAATATATTTTCGGCCCAGTACAACACCAAGTGGAAAAATTCTTATTTAAGCAACATGTCATGCTACAAGCTTAAGTAGGCCCAAGCCACGCGAATGTCTTGGGCTTGCTGAGCAGGTTGTGGTATGGATGGTTACGAGCATTCACAAAGCCCATTAATGGGCCAAGAAGTGGAAGTTTTGGGCTGCTTGGGAGCACCAAAACTCTAGCCCATTTCTTATAAGCATGAGAGAGAAGGAGTGGCCCAATAGCTTAGGAAAATATCCAATGGCTTGCAAACACTTGGGGAAATCCCACATTAGCCCAAATATCCAGCACCTTGATCAAATAGGCTGTTTCCAGCATCTTGAGCAAACTCTCAGGCCCCTGGAAACAAAATACCAATAGCCCAGCCCAGCATCGTGGAAAATATACAGCATCCCATATTGAAGCCAAACCATCAAAACTAAGCAAACTCATGTGTTGATCACCTTTTTGACTAGCACCCTTACTCATTCTTTCATCTTCAAGCTTTGGTGAGAAAACAAGAAGCAAAAGTGGGTGGCGCCTCACCCGCATGGAGGAGTCTAGTTGCCTGAGGACCTTGGAACTCCAAAACGCTTCATGCCTACATGCTCAAGCTAGGGAAGTTTCACCAAATAAGATGGAATGGAAGAAAGTGAAGGAAAAGGGGAGAGGGTGACTTGATAAAATTGAGTCTTCCAGTGCCTATAAAATGAGTAACTTCCTACCCAGCAAAACAACTCACCTTGGTTGCTGCAAGCCTCCCAGCAACCATGAGAACCAATCGAAGGCAAGCAACCCCTCTGGAACCCTTCAATTTCATGCTTTGTTCTTCCATCTTCTTCCTCTCTCTCCCAAAACCCACATCCAGAGAGAGCAAGCATCCCCTCTGGAACCCTTCAATTTCATGCTTTGTTCTTCTATCTTCTTCCTCTATCTCCCAAAACCCATATCCAGAGAGAGCAAGCATCACCTCTCATCCCTGAAACACTTCAATTTCAAGCCATATTCCTCCATCTCTTCTCATTTTCTCTTCTGTCAACCAACCCAAGAGTCTGACGAAGCTTTCGTCAAGCTGCTGGAAATCTGCTAAAGTCACCCATGCTTCTATCTTCTTCCTCTCTTTCCGATAAACACATCCAGAGAGAGCAAGCTTCACCTCTCATCCTTGGAACCATTCGATTTCAAGCCATGTTCTTCCATTGCTTCTTTTTTTCTCCTATGTCAAGCCATTACAGAGTCTGACCAAGCTTTTGTCAGGCTACCGGAAAATTGCTCATACCACCCACTTTTCCTCTCTCTCTCTCTCTCTCTCTCTCTCTCTCTCTCTCTCTCTCTCTCTCTCTCTCTCTCTCTCTCTTTTCAACGAACCCCTTGAATCCATTCCCCCTTGCCTTAAAAACTCTGTTTCTCATAGGAAATCGTAGCTCTTTCTCTCTCTCATGCTAAACTCATGAATGCTCAGCTGTCATGCCACAAGTTTCTTATGTCAAGCCAAGAATTTATCTGTAAGTGACTGTTGGTTTCATTGGTGAAGAAGACCAAGTTGTTTCCTAAGGCTCAGCTACCCTTTCGAAACACTCTTGAGGTCTGATCCTTGAACTCAGACTCAAGGGGCAATTTCATACATTTGGCTTTTTATAGCAATCCAGGGCCATCAGTAGCTGCATAAATGAAAAAGCCCCTATAATTTGTTTCTTTAGTTTTATCCATATATATAAAGCAAAAGGCAGAGAATAGTGAAACATTCAAAATACCAGAAAATACCCTTGGTTAATTCAAACATTAAGAATTGAAATTATTAATTAAATGAGGATAATATGGTAAATTCACATTTTTTTTCATATTAAAAAATTAAAATTAAAAACAAAATCAGATAATAGGTCCTAATTTTATGAAACATAACTACCCATGTTATCTTTTCATAATTCTAAAAATAAAATAAAATAAAATAAAATAAAACCAATTGGCACATGTGCCAAGGGGCTAGTTTTACCTTAAAAAACTTTTCAATTTATTTTATACATTATTTATATTATAAATTATTTTACTTTTGATTTTTACAGAAGAGAAAAACTATAATTTTTGACTTCTGGTTAAACACCCAATCACTATTTTTTGTCATGCTTCACTATTCTTTTGTATAAGGTCCTTACTATCCTTTTTTTGTTAGACTTAATACCGTTTTATTGTCCTTAATTGCCAAAAGAGGAATGCTAGCAACCTTCTTTCTAACTTTCTCCTTTGGACCTTCACCCTTTTCTTCATTACATGTGTCACTTTCCTTACACTAAAAATAACGTCATTAATGCATCCCACAAGCTAATTTTCGTTTTCCAAGTCTTATCCTTATTAAATGTATTGAATTTTTTTACAACTTTGTTACCACCTTATTAAAAAAATTAAATACGAAAAACTGCCATTTTTATTTTAAAAAGTTTTTATTTTTTATTTTCAAAGAGAATGGTTTTTTTTTCACAACAAAAATTATGTGACTTCCATGATAACAAATTTATAGTCATTTGACGAAAAGATATGTTGTAGTTATTATTTTTCAGGTATTTAAATGTTAAGATAAGCACCCAAACAAAAAAATAACAGTAAAAGATAAAGAGTAATGCTACACTTATCACATTTATATCTCACATTTTCATACTACCTTATGTGGTAGATGAAGTGGACAATCACATCAATTAAAAAGTGTCAATAAATCATAAAAGATAAGAAAACTTTAAATTAATTTTAATTGATGTGTTGTCCACCTCATCTGCCGCATAAGGTAGTATGAGAATGTGATATACAAATGTGGTAAGAGTATCATTATTCAAAGATAAATATCAATAATACCAATATCCATTGAAAATAAAAAATAAAATTTTAAAATTAGAGAGTGATAGAATATTTTATTAGCAACAACAGATTCATAGTCATTTTCACAATAGTTAATTAAAAAACGTTTTTTTTACAAAACTAGTTGTTATACCCACCCACAAAAAAAAAAACTAGTTTATTAAGAACGTCTGTTTTCTCTAGAAAGAAATAATAATAATAAAAAACTAACCTTTAGAATAAAAAAGTGGTAAGAAAAGGTGACATTTTTTTTCCTCTAAACTAACCTTTTTTATTATTTGATTTTTTAACAAGGTGGGAAGAAAGTTCTAAAAAAAACTACCCTTGTAAAAAAGTCAATATATTTAATAAAAGTAAATTTGGAAGACAGAACCTAGCTTGTGTATTAATGACATTGTTTGAAGTGTAAAGAAAGTTACACATGTTAAAAGGAGAAGGGAGAAATTCCAAAGGAGAAGGTCGCTAGCATTTCCCTTGCCAAAATGGTGATGCTTTACTTTTGGAAGTCCTTCATACCAAGGTTAGAAGCAATTATCATATATTCTTGGCACTAAAGCCTTTGTAGCCTCCCTATGTGCAGCTACTGACGGTCTACAAGACTCCAAAATACGACCCCCAATGCACATGCTCAAGCTTCGCTATAAGCACGTTCACAGTCGGAAATAGGTCTACACGTCACAAAACCATTTGCCCAAAAATAATAATATAAGTAAAGAAAGTATGAAAGGTAGAAGATGAGAGAATCAAATTGTGATGGTGATTGTGGTATGTGGTATTGTGGTAGTATATCAAATGTGAAGGAGTGGTGGCCTTTTATAGGCATCCAAGAACATATAACCTCCACCATATTAAACTAGAAAACTAAGGCATTCAATATAAAAATAAAACCTGAAAATTAAATATTTATAACCCCAACAATAAATAAACTAAACTAGCCAAAATAATTAAACAAATCAAAACAGTAAAATTTTTAAAACTTTTTTAAAATTTCAACACTTACAACGTTTGGTAAAAAAAGTTTAATAGTTCTTGTACTAATGTTTACGTGCTTCCTACCGAAAAAGCCTCAAACAATGTTTGGTAGAAAAGTTTAGTAGTACTTATACTACCTCTCTTGTATTTTCTACATAAAAAGTCCAAACGTATGAACAAAAAGGAGAGTGTCACTATTATCAATTTATCTTTTCCTAAACTACTCACTACATTCACTTAAAGAAAAATATTGATTGCAATTTTATTCCACAATGGAATTACCTAAAAAGTGTATATTAAGAGTATAAAAAAATTAAAATAAAAACTTATGACAACTCCAAGAACTTAAGAGGTTGCACTTGCCCTTGATAGGAGGGTCCTAGTTTTGAGTGTCGGATTATATCTAATAATTATTGATCATTTTGTACATCTCCGAGTAGGCAAAATTTTGTGGTGGGACATTCTTATCTCCATCAAAATAGAAGCAACAACTCTTAAGAAAAAAATAAAAATAAAAATTTGCAGAGCTCAAAATTAAAGGAACAAGTCTTTTATTATGGATTTGCATTAAGACTTTCTTTCCACAATTTTCTATACAACATGAATACAAGTACACACTTCGCTATATTGCATCTTCCACATTGAGTTGAAGGCCCAAATAAATTTGACACATAATGAATGGTAAGGGTATTTTGCTCCCGACGTGAAACTCACCTCCAAATCAAAATGGAGAAGACACTTTCGAGCCAAAATCCCACAGAAATTTTCTAGCGTATCTACTCCTAAATGTTATCAGCTAATGATGTCTTGTCTTCTTGATCTATCTGAATTGATGCATGACTGAATTTCTTCTAGGGTTTTGCCTTTGGTTTCCGGGACTAACTTGGCCACAAATAGGATGGTCAACAAAGAAAATCCAGTGTAAATGTAATAAGTTCCTGCAAAACAAATCAAAGTGTATATATATGGAATATCAGTTGTGAAACAATACAAACCAATCAATTGGTTCAAAAGTTCTACTTACCTGAGGAACTCCAGCTCATGAGAAAGTTGTAGGTGTAGGAAATTGCCCAAGCACCCAACCAGTTCACAAGCACCACCAAGCTCCCAGCAGCTCCCTTCACATGGATTGGAAAAATCTGCAAAAGAAACCAAGTTTATAGAGTTTTAAATGATTTCTCCGCTGTCTGTTTGGTTCAAAATGCTTACATTATCATGAATGGCATTGAGGAACTGACAAGGCTAATTGTTCAAGCTTACCTCAGACATTATCACCCAAGGCACAGCTCCCATTCCAATAGAGAAGGACGCAATGTAAGTCTGATTCAAAAGGGGAAAAAATAAACAAGGTAAAATGAAAGCTGCAGTAAGAGGCATGATACTTTTCAAGTTTGCAGTTACGAATCGTGATGGTTAACTTACCAGCACGCCGGACACAGCTATTATCGGTACCCAATCAAGCAACAAACCATATCCCTGATAAACAAAAAGATGATACATACATCAGACCATAATGTAACAGGAAAGGGCAGAAAATATTTTGTAACAGAACTCAGTTTTAAAGTTTTGATACCTTCAGAAAGAAAGAAGTTCCGGCTAGAAAACAGCCTAGGAATGTCCCAGTTGCTGAAACCTTCATACGAAAACAAAAGCTCGTCACGAAAAGTTTATCTATAAAGATCCTCTGTAAGAGATCAGGTTTTCTAGATCAATTGCTACCATTATAAGAGGCCTTCTTCCTGACTTATCAATTAACGTTGCTCCGACCATAGTGATCGGGACCTGCCAATAGATTTTACATGAGCCGAGCTTGGATGGACAAACTCAAACATTTGAGATTCAACAGATGATAGGAGAAAATGGTTACCTGAACACATGCATAAGCTATGGTTCCGGTTTTGCTTGAAATTCCTGCAATTGGCATTACGGAAAGAGATAACTTTAACAGGAAAGATTAGCAACAAACCAAATGAAATGAAGCATAGGAAAGCCCCAGTTGAAAATACCAGCTTCTTCAAAGGTTTGACTTGCATAGAATCCTATCCCATTAATACCTCCAAACTGTTGAAACACCATTAATCCAACCCCAATCTGAACGTTCAGGAGTTTGGAGTCAGAAATGAAGTCATTTGGTTAACAGCATTAGAGAAAGTTATGAAAATTAACAGAGAAAAGTTGCTTACAATTACAGGGCGAATATGTTTGCTTTTAAACAAATCCAACAATTTGGCTTTTGGAAGACTTTGTAGAGTAACAATATATTCCTGTCAAGATACGGACAGGGTGATTTTGTTAGTAATGTTGATTTTAGATTATGAAAGATTCAATTAACATTTTTTCGGTTGACAGGACATACTTGAATTTCAGCCATTTCATCAGATATATCAGCATGTTTTCCACGGAGTATCTGTAGTGCAGTCTGAAATTCTTTCTCATGGCCAATCTTTGCCTGAAAACAGATAATTTCAGCTTCAAACGTCTGTTTTGTTCTCACTATTTATTTTTTCTCTGGTTTTGTGAGAATAAGAAAACAAAAGGTAAAGCTTATTATGAACTGAAATCTTACCAGCCATCGAGGCGACTCCGGCACAAACCATAGACCCACAAGCAGGAAAATGCAAGGAACAATGCCTTCATATCAAAACCCAATTATCAATCTCTTCAAAGTTTTCAGTTACTTCCAAAGGCAATTAAGTTGAGCCACCTATTGTCATTAAGAATAACAAAATATCCTATGGGATCAGAGCTCACCAGTTAGAGCAAGTGTTGTCCAACTTATAATTGTTCCAATTACAAATGCAACTGATGCTCCAGTCACAATCATGAGCTGCAGGACAAGTACAAGGAAAAAGATAACAGCGTGTTAAAGAACATATAGCTTTCTAGCTAGTAGGGAGATGATTTTGTGCAGAGAAAGCTCATAAATTTCCTACCTGATTTAATGTTGTAAGTGCTCCGCGGAGATTCTTGGGCGCTATTTCTGCTATAAATATTGGGACCTGTTCATCCAGATGATGCCAGAGAAACTCTGATTAGATTAAACAGCCTTGTTCAGATATTGCAAAGCATATGAATAGAACTTGGCTTTAAAATAAAATTCTATACCACATAGGAGAAAACTCCAATTCCATATCCAGTGAAAAACCTTCCTATTTCAAGGGACAAAGCTCCCTGCATAAGATTTATAGCAAATACATTCAGCATGTGACCTCTGTTTGACTGAACTTAAGAAAAATATACAAATTCAAGAGTTTAAAATGGTGGAAAATATACCTTAGAGAAAAAGATGGCTAGCCATCCTGTAATGCAAAAACTAGCTGACATTCTCATTGCCTATTTCCATACAAATTCAAGAAGTTTAGTGCAAAGTTTAGGACAATGGATATGACCAAGCTTTCATTTGTTTCTTCTTTAACACCAGAAATTAAAATTTATCATACCCCTTTTCGACCAAGAAAATCTGCAATCCGACCACTTGTTATAGCACCCAGCATCGCACCAATTGTTAGTATAGAGCCAAACATGGAGAACTGCCATGTGATTGGAAATCAGTAACAATGCACTTCAATATAATGCAAATTTTTTTAATGACCAAAGAGAACAACAGGGCAAACCTGGGCAAGAGAGAGATTGAGATCTTCCCTGATAGCAGACTGAGTGGGAGCTGAATAGCCCACCTGCCAAAACAAGAACTTAAGCTAAACAAACATTCTTCTTTTTGGGTTATTTTTGTATTTTCCCCCCCTAATCAGAAGAAACACAAACAACAAAAATAACACACTTAGTATAGCAAGAACCTTCTTAAACCAGAAACACAGAGATCCTGCAACCTGCTCAGACTAAAAACGCAATGTTCATAGAAATTACAAGAACACTTACACATGATCCAAACTCAAAAGAGCCACAAACAGCAACACAAGTGCTGAGCAAAACCATCCAAATGGATCCACTTTTCTCAGTACTCTTCTCATCACTCCCATATTCATCTTCATAGGAAACAATTTTCTCCTGCTTAATGACCAGAGGCTGTTCCAAATCCTCAAGGGTGTTATTTTCTCCATTTTCAACATCTCTGAACTGCCCAATTGCCATGTTTTTTTCTCACTACTCTAAAAAAACTAAAGAATTCAAACAAAAAGAAGGAAAAACAGGAGCAAAAGGACCCTGCTCCTGGTAGGACTCTACTCTTGGTGGGATGCAATATATGCTTGTGTTCTCAGGTATTTATACACATGTCAAAGCTGCATGTAGCTAGATATTTTATGAACAAAAAAAAAAACAAATAAAGTGCATCTAGATATTTATGAGTTTGTCTACTAGCAATTGATTAGGAGAAGGTAGAAGGCTGTATCAGATGGGAAACTGGGTACTGCATGTGAGTTAAAGCTGTCACTGATCTGGTGAAAATGATGAGGTTTTAGCTAAGCATAGCCTAATTAGGACATGTGGAAGCGGGCCAAGATGATAAGGCTATTTAAAGCTAATTTTTGCATGTGATCACATTTTAAGTCTGGTAAATTATGATTAATTTGGTTTAAATATGATGCATGCTTACGTGGACCTTACTCAGATCGATTGCTAGGAATTATAAGAAACAAAGAACAAATGGGAGCTTGTGGGCGGCAAGACAGAGTGTTCTTGTTCTGTTACTGAAGATGAAGCTGGCAAAAGATAATTTATTTTATTTGAAAAATAAACTCTGCTGGTTTTTGACTGATCAGATACGGTTAAGTTTGCTTTCATATTCAAATGAAAAATAGGTTTGTTATCGAATAATGGCCTTGTAGTGTAAAGGGAGATTGGGGTTTTCTTGTAATTTCAGAAGACAAAAAAAAAAGAGTGGTAGAAGTTATAGAAGTGTTGGTGTCAAAGATGTCTAATGATATGCTTCATGTCATTCTCTTGTAATTTTTTGTTAAAACATGGATTGTTGTTGTTATATCAATGCATTTTGCTACGTAAATTCTCATGTAACGCGTGCGTATTTCTTGATCGTAAATGTATGTGAGTTGCATTGTAGAACTCATATGAATTCGTAGTTAGGAATTACTGATGTATCTAGGAACTGACTGACTTCAACATTACTTTGTACTAATAGTTTGTGTATAAAAGGAGTGATGGATCAACTTTCAGATTGTGACAATTGGACTGGCGATTTTTCGTTTTCGTATTGGCCAAACTTCAATAATTTAAGGTGGAAGTGTATGGGACAACTGGGGACCTTCTCCATTTGTTGTCAATTAACGAATAATCTATCCTAATCAACCATTGTAAATCACTCGATACTGAACTATGTTTTAAATTAAATATCCTATGTCACATCATATTGCAGTGGCCTTAAGAGCAACTCCAGCAAGGCCCCTTTGCCTCGGGCTGGGGGATTTTTTCACCAAAAATGGGTTCCAGCGGAGAGCCCAGGCAGGGGGGAGGTGTGGGACCCATCAACTCGGGCTGGCCCGAGGTCTAAAATGAGGGTTGCTGACGTTAGCGATACAGTACCCCCGCTACAGTATTTGCTACAGTCCCCCCACTGATTTGATTTTTTTTCTGTTGCCACGTGACGTCGTCTAAGCTCTCCGATTTAATTTTTTTCCTCCAATCCAACGGCAGCCAATTTTTTTGCAATAAAATACTGGAAAAAATTCGAAATTTTTTTAAAAAAATACCCAAAATTAATGAATTTTTTTCTATAAATACCAGCATTTTTTTTTAATTTATCTGAAATTTGAAATTGAAAATTTTATCCGATTATGAGATATGAATAGTATTGACACGTAGGAACCTGCAAATATTATCCAAATTAATTATTGTGAAAAAAAAAAAGTTGTGAAAAAAATTTAAAAAATGAATAGTAATTGCCCTTTGCCATGGCAACGGGTGGAAACGGAAAATACTATTTGCAAGGGCAACTACTATTCACGTGAATAGTAGTTGCCCTAGCTCCCCCCTTGCCATAGCTAAGGACAAATGGGTGGAGTTGCTCTAATGGGAAAACACCCACAAATCTCATGACTCATGTTAGGTTGCTGATGGTATCCTTTGAATAAATGAAGGGAGAAAAGGGTAAGCAAAGCATATCTTCATGTTTGCTTCTTCTTTTTTTCTTCTTTTTTTTAACTTGTGGTACCTACATGTTTTGTGTTGGGGCATTATGTGAGTAATCATTATTTCAGTTGAAGAGGAATACTTGAAATCTCTGTACGAACAAGCGACAAATTCTCTAATTTGCAAACAAATAAAATAAACGAATAAATAACAAAGCCGTTGTGTCATCATGATTCATGTATATGATCACGTACGTATAAGATTTCGCCATTTTTATATATTATAACATTCAAATACGCACGTAATAATAATATGCAAAGAATGTGTAGTTCAAGTGGTTAAGAGCATTTACTCCTATATATGAAGTTTTAGATTCAATTCTCCCCTTTTCCAATATCGCTTGTAAAAAAAAATACACATAATATATGATGATATTATAATTTGTATAAATTAGAAATAAAATATGTTCAAATTATCTTATTGTTATCAATGGAGAACAAAAAAAATATATCAATTTTTTTAGGACCTTTCCTATTAAAAGGGACGATAATATACTAAACGCACAGACTACACAGATACCAAAAAAATCAATTATTAATGGACAATTTCCAACAATAACAAAATTATTGGACAGTTTCAATTGTTTTGTTTTAGACCTCCCTCCATTAAAAAAGGATCTACACAATGTAACTGGAACATTAGACGTTGACATAGTATAACCGAGCGGCTATACTCTTTACATAAAAAATTATTTTTATTCTATTTTTGTTTATCGATAAGGATAATATAGAGTCTTATCCATTACTATTAGGCCATTATACAAGTCTCTATTGTCTCCTTTTGAGTTTTTTACTTTTCCATAGCCATTAGCCCTATAAAGAATTTAGCATTTTTCACGTTAATACTTGTATTGTACACGTACATGTGTATTTTTCATGTTTAATATTAATACACTTGTTTTTTTACAAAACTTTCAATTATACACACAAAATTCAGGTATTATACACATAATTTTCACATATTATCGAATAAATATATTTTTAAAAAGTAAATAAATCATATTAAAATATTATATAGTGGCCAAACTTATCAGTTGTAATTTGCCAAAATATTGCCGAATAAAACATGTACGTATTTATTCATATTTTTCCCGTTACGTATTTTACTAACTCAAAGGATGTGAGAGGCTAAGATTATTTCTTACTTCTTGTAACAAAAATGCAAGATGGTGATTTTGCAAACTTTTTGCAGACCATAACAACAATTTCAAATAAAGATTTATGGGTATAGTAGTAAGTAAGGTGGTAGTATTCTTCATTTATAGTGTTGTTTGAAATGTGAAGCAATTATCAAGAACACTCCAATTCAGCATGCAATTATCTACAACAAATAATGTGTACAGTAACAAAATTTAGTAGCATTTGAGAGAACGGGGTAGACCAAAGGCAAACACTCCCACAAAAATAGAAGAAGAAAAAATGGAACTCTGAAATTGATTTACTGTGAAATTTATCTCTCTTCAATATCTGCTTTGAAGATGTCAAAACTAGCAAATTAATATCTATAAAATATAAACTAATGCGACTAGAGTCATTTTCTTTTAATATTTTCTAAAGAAATAGTATAGCCGTGCGGCTATACTCCTATAATATACTTCAAGCATATAGCCGCACGGCTATATTGTTTTTGACACGTGACGTAACACGCGCTAGGAGCCAGGCGGTCTTTTTTAATTTTTTTTAATAAATAGTATAGCCGCGCGGCGATACTACGTTTTTTTTAGTAGCTATATTATCTTGTTTTCCTCTTGGTGGCCAAGGAAGAAGAAGCTGGCACATGTTAATTAGTAGGGTTTGTTTGTGTTTTCACTGTCCTACATTTCTATTTCCTATTTTGGGTGTGCTTCTCCATCTTTATAATTATGTAGATGTTTCATAGTGTCATGTTAAGTGAATTAAAAAATTAAAATTAAATTTAACCAAACTAAATGAAACCGTCGGTACGCGGATTTTTCAGTTGAGATACCCACTCCTAACCCAAAGTATAGCCGAGCGAATATACTCTATAAATAGAATATTTAAAAAGTATTTATAGAGTATTGTCGCCCTGTTATACCATATAAATAGAATATTCTAAATGTATAGCTGCGCTGCTATACTCTACAAATACAATATGTTAACAATATCGCCACACGGCTATACTCTATAAATATAATATCTAAACGTATACCGGGGCAGCTATACTATGTAAATAGAATATGTTAACCATATAGCCGGGCGGCTATACTATATAAATAGAATATTCTGAACTTATAGCCGCCCAGCGATACTTTGAAAATAGAATATGTTAACCATATAGCCGGGCACCTATACTATATAAATAGAATATTCTAAACTTATAGCTGCCCGGCGATACTTTGGAAATAGAATATGTTAAGGGTTTAGCCGTGCGGCTATACCATATAATATTCTAAACGTATAGCCGCTCGGCGATACTGTGGAAATAGAATATGTTAAAGGTATAGCGGCTATACGATATAAATAGAGTATTCTAAGAATAGAGCCGCGCGGCTATACTGTAAATAAAACATGTTAAAACTATAGCCGTTCGGCTGTAAGAATTTGTTGTAAGTATAGCCGCCCGACTACACGCTATAAATAGAATATTTTAAACCGTACCACACTCCCAGCCACCACCCCTACCCAGATCCATCATCATCATCACCATCTTCTTCGTCATTGTCACCATCGTCTTAAAATTCCGAAAAATTGTCATCTGATCCCAAAACTGGATGAAATTCCCAAGATCAAACTTGTAAAATTCCGAAGAGTTGTGGGAGAAATTCAAAGCTGGGTTTGTTGTTGTTGTTTTGCTGATAGTAAAACTTGTCAACTCTCTAAATTGGCTGTGGTGTGCTGCAAAGCCCTCCTATTTTCCCTACCAATGCACCGCGTTTCAACTTTTTCACCATTGATGATCCTTCTTGCTTTTTTCTCACTTACCACACCCTTTTCTTTTCTTTCCATCTCTCTCTCTCTCTCTCTCTCTCTCTCTCTCTCAATTTCTAAACACACGCAGACCGTAATATAATAAAATCCACTCCCAACTAACATTCATGCACAGATCCATCAAGCCCACCACCACCATATCAAGCCCACCACCACCAATACCAAGAATCCAGCTTGTTGATGCTCTATTTAGGAGGGTGAACTTAGAGAGAAGTGGATAGTCTTCAGCAGGGGAGAAGGTGAGGACCTTTGGAATGGGGAGAACCTGCAGAAGACAAAGTGGAAGAAGCAGTCGTTAAGCTTCGGACACCAGTGTGGTGTCTGCCTAAGGCTCTTTGATGCTTAAGTCAGCTATCAGTGGTAAATTTGGCAGAGTAACAGTAAATGTGAGAAAGTAGTTACCCTTTTTACTCGAGTACTATTCCCTATTTATAAGGAAGTGGAAATGGGAGCTTTGCACAAAGTTTCGATGTGGGACTTTGTGCAAGTTATTGTGGTGGTAACACATGTCCTTGGAGATTAGGTTCGGCAGTCGAGAGCTTCGGCAGGTGTCTGCCACTTCGGAAGAGTGTCTTCCTTTGGCAGGGAAGAAGGCATGTCTGCCTTGGTGCTAATCGTTTTGATGCTGGATATGCTCGGTTGATTATGGTGTAAACATAGCTAAACCCTAAACCCTATTCGAATTAGATTTGGATCAAAATTCGATGCATTGAGAGGTAAGTCTAGTTTGATTGAGTTGCAATGCCTGTCAAAAAAAAAACACAGGATAAACCTAGAAACGTGATATACCACTTGAGACTTGGAACATTACTTGTGCTGGACAGACCAATTTCTGGACTTTTTATATACATATAATTGGTCACAGGAACATCGAATAGCATTGTTTAGTCTTCAACTCTGAAAATCAAATATTTGAGAAGATAAGGAGTGATGTGATGAATAAGCCCTCTTGCTTCTATTTTTCCCTTCACTGCTATGTTTTTTTTAATAAATAAATTGGTAATTCACAGAAATGAAAATCTAATATCATGTGAAAAATACACTCTAGATGCAGCAACAAACGAAATGGACACTTCGGTGAGTGATAAATCAAAATTTCAATATAAAGCACAAGTAATAGGCATTTGAATATGTTATCCCAATAGTCACGATATTCATTGCCTATGTTAGGAATAGCATGCAATCTCAGATCAGGATGGGGATTCGCAGGCGAGACAGAACTTATTTGCATGGAACATGGCAAATACAGATCAAAAACATATTATTACTTGGTCCCTCGTTGATACAAAAGGCAGCATATCATCCTTGTCTTAATCTTTCATGAATTCATGCAAGCGGCTGACCCGGGTAAACAACAACTAGAATGATACTCCGGGTGGCCCGGCCACCCTGGTCCAATAACCAAATTTCCATCAGTGAAGCAACAATCTATTGGATCAGGCTCCAGCCATGTTGCTCCCGACAAAACCACATTAAGCTTCAC